TTATATTTACTTGGCTGTGCCAGGTCCTAGTTGGGGCACTTGGGATCTTCATTGTGGCACGCAAACTCTTATTTCTTGACCAGGGATTGAACCTGGGCCCCCTGCGTCAGGAGCACGGACTCTTAGCCACTGGACCACCGGGGAAGTCCCTGCACAGATCTTTAACATGATCAGTTTTCTCCTCTGCAAGCTGCCTCCTATCCTGCTCATGAATGTTCATGCCCCCAAGCCAAATACCATTAGGGACATGCTTGGAGTTGAACTCTGGGTCTACTGCCATTGCAACAGGGGATGCATACCGTGGGGAAGGGCGGGACATCTCTGAAAGAAGGTGTTAGATAGAAACAGGAGGAAATTCCCTGGTTGTCCGATGGTTAGGACTCCGTGTTCTCATTGCCAAGGGCCCAGGTTCAATCCCTGGTTGGGGAACTTAGATGCTTCATGCTGCTCTGTTCAACCAGATGGTTTGGATAAGGGCTCAGAGAAGTGGGCCTTTGCTCTGGATTGGAGGCTGTCAGGACACAGGAATGGTTCTATGATTGCATATCAATAAGAATGAAGCAAAGCTAAAGCTGTGAGTAGCAAAGAATCTGCAGTCATTCATATTAGCCAAAATAATAGGGGAATGTTTGGGTCGTTTCTGTGGTTTGGACAGTGTTCATACGTCTGTCTGTATTCAGACATCAGTGATTATCTTTTTGTGTTGATCTATCAGGATTACACAGGCTGAGTAGTTGTGGCGCAGAGGCTTAGTCGCTTTGAGGTATGTGGGATCTTCCAGGACCAGGGATCCAACCTGTGTCTCCTGCATTAGCCGGTGGATTCTTTGGCTTTTCCACAATGCAGAGACACAAGAAACGTGAGTTCAATCCCTGGGTCAGGAAGATCTCCTGAAGAAGGAAATAACCCACTCCAGTATTCTTGTCTAGAAAAGTCCATGGACAGAAGAGTCTGGTGGGCTACAGTCCATGGGGTCACAAAGAGTTGGACACAATTGAGCGTGTGTCCACATGCACACACACACCATAATTATAGAATGGCCTTGTCTGTCTGTGCTGATATTTTTCCAAATTATTTCAACAGATGACTAAAGCCTAGATAATAGTACTAGTTTGGCTTCCAGATGCCAGCAGCTGCTTTTTTTTTTTTTTTTTAATAATTTTACTTATCTCTGGCTGTGCTGAGTCTTCATTGCTGTACAGGCTTTTCTCTACCTGTGATGAGCAAGGACTACTCTTTCTTGCAGTGTGCAGGCTTCTCATTGAGGTGGCTTCTCTTGTTGCACGGGCTCTAGCGCACTCAGGCTTCAGTAGCTGCAGCACGCGGGATCTTCCCTGATCAGGGATGGAACCTGTGTCTCCTGCACTGGCAGGCGGATTCTTTACCACTGAGCCACCAGAGAAGCTCAAAGAGCTGTTTTTCTCTTTCTCACAACCCACACCCATGCCTAACTCTTATCAATCTGCCTCTTCTCCTAGGATGCTATTCTCCCTCCCCCAGACAACACAAAACCCCATCTTTCTGATGAGGCTTTCCTAAATACTTCTTTCTCCATTAGATTATCTTTTCTGAATGCATCTAAAAGTCTTGGATGGCATACCACAATTTAGTACTCACCTATGTTCTCTCTTTTTTTTAATCTATTATTTGACTGGGCTGAATCTTAGTTGGGGCATGAGAGATCTTCTAGTTGCTCACAGAACAATTTACTTCTGACATGTGGGATCTAATTCCCCCACCAGGGATGGAACCCAGGCCCCCTGCATTGGGAGCGTGGCCTCTTAGCCAAAGGATCACCAGGGAAGTCCCCTGTGTTCTATCTTGACTTGTTTCACATATATTCTTCTTCTTTGTAGGTTGTAAACTGGCTGTATAGGGGTAGGGCCATTTCTCATTCTGCAGGATCCCTCAGAAATGAATGCCCACTGAGGTGAAACTAAGGACTGGTCTGAGTAAAGGAGAGGGCGCATCTAGCTTCAGTAACACAGCTCTGAAAACAGCTGCAGGGGAGAGGCCATCAGCTTGCGCTTTTCCGTTGTTGGCCATTTCTAACACCCTGAGTTGATCTTCCCATCAAGAAAGCGTTTTCCAATTTTTCTCTTGAAGCATTCCTTTCTTTCCAAGAGTTGTTTGTGGCACTCTACCTGTCTGAAAGCTCCTTTAATGCACCATCTGCCACTGACATATTTTTGTCTCTGCTCAGTCTCCCAAAGCACCTGGCTTGGGACTTAGCCGGTGGAACCAAAGAACCAGAAGTTCCCGACAAGCAGTTCTGCCTGGCTTGAGGCAGAAAGTGGGATGTATCCAAACTGTCTCCTATCTGGCCGGGTGGGACACCGACGAAGCTCACTCCAATGGCCCTTGGCTAAAGTCGGGGGCACAAGACCTCTCAGCCCAGTCCCTTAGCTTAGCTGCAACTCTCTCCGGTCCATCATCACTGCCCTAGGTTACTCCTGAGGAGCACGCTAAGCAGGCTTAGGGAAACCTTAGTTAAAAGCCGAGAGCTTCAACTGTTCTCCATAGAGAAGCTGAGTTTCGGCGGAGCTGGAGAAATAACAACTGATTGACATCAACCACAGAGCCAGCAGACAGTCACAACTTAATTTCCCCCGCCAGGATGTGGTTACTTTCTACGAAGCCGCCTCACGCCAACTGTAGTGATCAGCCAATCACAAAGCCCGAGAGGGCGTGGTCACCAATTAGAGGTAGAGAGGCGGAGCCGAAGTTTTGATTGGCATCCAGTCTCGGGGGTGGGGGAGCCCAGAGGTCTGGCAGCGTGGCGTCTGAAGAAGCTTCAAGTCGGGAGGCCCAGCGCTGCGGCCATCTTTATTCCTGGCAGGTCAGCTGACTTGGACTAGCTCCGCGCCAACTTGTAGGCGGTATCCCTTTTCTCTGGGGAGCGGTGAGGCCCTCCCCTCACACACTTCCCATCCGTCCGCGCGTGCCCCCGCCTTCTCGGTGAGCCTGTTTGGCGGGAAGTTGGCTTAGTTGGCCTACCTGTGGCTGAGCGGTTTTCCTCGTCCCCGCCTTGTTCTCCCCAGAGGCTTCTTAATTCTTCCTCGGCATAGGGCATAGTACCCCTTCGCACGGAGGACGCCATGGCTCCCAGGAAACGCCCAGAAACCCAGAAGACCCCTGAGGTGGTCGTGCGCCCCAAGAGCAAGAGGAACAGAAGCCCACGGGAGCCGGAGCCCGAGGCCAAGAAGCTCTGTGTGAAGGGCCCCGGTACTGCCTGTGCCTGCTGCTTTAATTAATTCCGCAGTTTGGGGTTCTCCGCAGAAGGCTGGAGTGGGGGATGGGTGCGCAGAGGTTCTGAGGCTTGCCCAGCTTGTGGGCGCCTCAGGCTATGCGTTTTGTCTGCAGGTCCTTTGACACCCTCAGAGCTTGGGCTTATCGTCCCCCAGGTGACGGGATGAGGCAGGTGACCTCCCTTACAACAGACACAACCGACTTTTCCAATTCCTTATTTCTATCGGAATTTTTACACAGAGACCTGCATAAGATAATCCTACCTTGCGTGGTGCTGTGTGTGCTTAATTTCGATAGTCATGATTGTTAGCTATCTGTCTTTGGTCTAACTGCGGGAACCCTCAATTTTCTTCCTTCCTTCCTTTGAAAACTCACTCTTAGGGGTTTCTTGGGGCTAAAACCTGGGTCTGTAAGGAATGTAGGGAACTCAAAGACGGGTTGTCGATGAAGTGTTTTTTTTTTTTTTGTTCATGAGAAGAAAGAATGGGTTGTCCAGAGGCAGGATTTATAGAGATCAGGTCCTCAAATACAGGTTAGTAATCCGGAGTTGCTTTATTCCTATTATAGGTGGATCTGCCTCCCCAAAAGTAGCCTAGTGAATTTAGCGCCATGCCAGATCCCGTGGATCCTGCTGGTTTTCAGGAGAACAGATTGGACTTGGGGCCCACAACTGGTCACGTCTACATTATTGTAATACAGGATTTTAAAAAAACTGCTTTTCTTAGTCACTTCCACTGTGTTGTCTTAAAATCTTTTTATTATGCTTTATATATGACTTTTAAATTGTCACTCAACCCTATCACAAGTTTTCCACTCAAAACTGAGAAGAGTTCTGCAGTTCTTGTGTGTTTCTTGGGCTCAGTTCTCAGGAACCCTGCAAGATCACAGTTTCACTTCAGAATTACTGTTTTGGGGAATGTTTTTTGGAAGAGGTTGAATCCCTGCTCACTATTTGTTGTGCTGGGTGGGACTGAGCAGAACGTGAAAAGATCTTAGGAGGTGATAGGAGAGATTGTCTCTGCCAAAAGAAGCAATAGGGCTTTCTTTCTGGCATATTCGGCAGAAAAATCTTTCCTGCGTGAGATTGGAGCGGAAAATATGTGTCTGTTCTGCTTGGCAGGTTCTAGCAGAAGATTTGACTCAGGCTGCCTTTGGGCGGGGTTGAGTAGCCTGCAGGTCCCGCCGCTATGCAGCAGCATCGTCAGGGCCCTCCACCAGCATAAGCTGGGCAGAGCTGCCTGGCCATCACTGCAGCAGGTGAGGCGTTTCCTGGCTGAAGATTTCAGGGATTTGTATGATGCCTTTTTAAACCACTGGATGCTCCAAAATTAGATGCTGGGTTGGTTCACTGGGTTGTCAGAGTGGTCAGATCACCCCCACCTTGGTGACTGGCCTACAGGGCTTTCGGCAAGGTAGAAGTCCTATGCTGTAGGGGTCCCAGCAGGAGTGCACTCTGACCCCTTGATTTCTGCGGTTAGATTATGTGTATTGCAAATCTTTTTATGCACAGAGCCAGGCAGTCGGTTTTCCTTGAGTGGGAGAACTTGGCCCCAGGCCTCATCTATGGAGGAATCAGAGATAGGCAATTTACCCTTGTGTTTTAATTCAACTTAATTGTTTTCTCTCTGTATTAGGGTCTCCAGCAGTCCTTTTTGAACTCTCTGGCTTCTTACCGGATATTCCAAAAGGCTGCCCCTTTTGACAGGAGGGCCACATCCCTGGCATGGCACCCAACTCACCCCAGCACCCTGGCTGTGGGCTCCAAAGGGGGAGATATCTTGCTCTGGAACTTTGGCATAAAGGACAAACCTACCTTCATTAAAGGGGTGAGCAGTACCCTGTGCCAGACAATAGTACTGAAGAGATGTTTGCTGAAGGGATGAAAAGTCATCTAGTAACAAGATAATTGGGATCAAAAGTAACTGTGGGTATTTTCAAACAATGGTGATGGTACTCTATTGAATGCCTGCCCTTGAAATATTAGCAAGTATGATACACTAATCATCCTTGTAAGTCACTTACAGGATCTAAGCCCCTTCTTACCTCCTCGACCTCATCTTGTGCTGTTGTCTTCCTCATTGCCTATGCTTTAGCCATACTAGATACTTCTGTTCCTGAAACTGGGTCTTTGGACTTGCTGTTCCCTTTGACTGGGGTGCTCTTTCCCGCGGTTTTTCTCATGGCTGGCTCCCTCTTATCATTCTGGTCTCAGCTCAAATTACTTCTTTAACAAGGCTTATTACTCACCGCTGTGCTTAATCACTAATGACTCTCTACCTCATTATTATCCTCCATCACTTTCCCCCCACAATGTTTATCAATATCTGAAATGTTTTACTTATTTGTATGTCTTTGCCCACTGGAAAGTAAACTCCATGATCACGGGGACCTTGTCTTTCTAACTTACCACCATATCCCCAGTACTTATAGTAGCTGCTTTGTATTTGCTGAATGAATGAGGGCCTTGAGGGATAACTGGGCAAGTCAGATGCATACCTATAAGATCACTGACTGTACAGCAATATAGATGCTAAATGCTACAGAAATGAGAGAAGGAAGAATCTCTGGGAATTAGAGTCGATAGGAAAGGTTTCGTGGATGAGTGAGATGTGAGGAAGAACAATATTTAGGTACATGGAGAGAAAAGGAGGAAAGGCAGAGCGTGTTTGGGGCAAGGTTTGGCAAAGAGCTGTTTAGGGATGGTCTTAATTGTGCTAGTGTTTGCCATCAGTCACTCGGGTTGAGAGTGTTGGCTCCTCCGCCAGAGAGCACACTCTCACCTTGCCCAGCAGGGCACTGAGGTTGGAGGGCTATACTGCGAGAGGTGGCACTCTGGCTTTAGAGCAGGAGCTGCAGATTCACATACCTAAAGAAGCCAGACAGATAAAAGAGTGATGTAGGAGTGATGCAGGATGCTGGTCAGTGATAAATTGGAGATGGTTGACAGGTGAGAATCGAGGTCCTGTGGTATCAGATCTGAATTTTTCAAATGAAGTCTGAAATGTTCGGATTTTTAAACATTGTAGTGAAACACATAAAGTTTACCATCTTAACCATTTTTTAAGTGTCCAGTTCAGTGTCATTGAGTACATTTATGTTCTTGCATAACCAGTCTCCAGAACTTTTTTGTCTTGCAGAACTGAAACTCTATAAACATTAACACACACTCCCCATTCCTCCTTCCCTCCAGACCCTGGCAACCGCATTCTGCTTTGTCTCTGATTTTGACTGACTGTCTCATACAAGTGGAATCAGACAGTACCTGTCCTTTTTTGACAGGCTTATTTCACTTAGCATCATGTCCTCAAGGTGCATCCATGTTGCAGCATGTATCTGAATTTCCTTCCTTTTTAAGGTTAAATAATATTCCTCTGTATGTATTGTATACACCACATTTTTTTTTACCCATTCATCTCTTGATGGACATTTGGGTTGCTTCCACCTTTTGGCTTTTGTGAATAATGCTGCTATGAACAGGGTTGCACAAATATCTCTTCGAGTTCGTGCTTTCAGTTCTTTTGGTTCTGTACCCAGAGTGGATCACATTGTAACTCTATCGTTAATTTTCTGAGGAACCACCATATTGTTTTCCATAGAGGCTGTGCCATTTTACATTCCTACCAATAGGACACAAGGGTTTTAATTTAAAATATCCTGATTTTTAATTTGGGGAACCAAATGAAATTGAACATGCTCTGTAGCTAAACAAAACACATATGTGAACTGGATTCTTCATTAGCTCTCTGTTTTTCTACCTCTGGTTTAGAGGCCATAGCTAAACCTAGGATGAGTTCTTTTAAATGGACGCTTTGGAGAGCAGCTCATCAGAAAAGGCCAGGTTAGACAGATTTGTGAGATTAGGATTCAATCTATGAGATTATTCAAGAAAATAAGTGACTGGAGCCCGAAGAATGGCTTTCTGTCCAGCTGGTGAGACAGATGACCACCAGGAAGTGGAACTTTAAGTTGAAGTCAGAACCCAGAGCTCAGACAGGAAGAGCTTTGTTCACCACCGCCCCCCCCCCCCCCCCAAGCAGCCAGGATGTGAGAATAGAGAAATTTAAGAAATAGCCTCAGAGTGTCCTAGGGGAAGAGCTTCCTGACTGAAAAAGGAATGATAACTGCTTTGAACTTGTGTTAGGGTGAAGGTGCTTTTGGTTTTATCACCCTTCCTTACGATGTGCGTTTAAGTGAAGCTTCCTCACACTTGTGGAGATTGGTTTGTGCATTTAAACTGTGTGACTCACAGGGAGACAGGTTGTAGCAGAAGAAAGGTTTGATGGTCTGGAGAACTGTCTGTTTTTACTCCCAGAAACCGACAGCAGAAAGTTGATTTGAGACCACTGAGGGAGGGAGCGGCAGTGCCTCATTTTATCTTTTCTTTAGTCATCTGACCTTCGTTCTGATCTTAGTATCTTTCAGGCCCTTGGCAAAGGGACATGTGTTAAATTTTCAAAATGATTCTTCTCATTGTAAAAATTACCTGTGCTCATTGTAAGAAAGTCAAGCAATACAGAAAAAAATATATATATATAAAGAATAAAGTAATTATTACCTGAAATCCCCATATGGGGCATCTTTATATGTGTGTAGACACTATCATACACACCTATTCTTTTACTTATATTTTTATATAAATGTTCTACCCTAGAATCTGTTGTATTTTACTTATTAGATCATATTCTGGTTTAGTCATCTTGTACCAGATGATGCCCACTTAAAAATATCTTATTTCCTTTTTTTGTAATGTCTTTGGTTTTGGTATCAGGGAAGTGGTCCCTCTACTTGAATTTTCTGGAATAATTTGTGCAGAGTTAATACTATTTTTTTCTTAAATTTTTCGTAGCATTCACTAGTGAAGCCATCTGGGCCTAGAGTTTTCTTTGTTGGAAGGTTTTTTTGTTGTTGTTGGAAGGTTTTTAACTATATTTTCAGTTGTTTAACAGGGATAAGGCAATTTAGGTTATCTATTTCTTCTTGAAGGAGCATGGTAGTTTGTCTTTCAAGTAATTTGTTTATTTTATCTAAGTTGTTGAATTTAGAGGCATAAAGTTGTTTATAGTATTCCCTTGGGCTCAGATGCTCAGTTGTGTCCGACTCTTTGCAGCCCAATGTACCATAGCCCACCAGACTCCTCTGTCCATGGGATTCTCCAGGCAGGAATACAGGAGTGGGTTGCCATTTCCTTCTCCAGGAGATCTTCCCAACCCAGGATCAAACCTGAGTCTCTTACGTCTCCTGCATTGGCAAATGAATTTTTTACCACTAGTGCCACCTGGAAAGCCTTGTATCTTTTTAATATCCATAGAATCTGTAGTGATGTTCTCACTCATTTTCATTGTTACTGTTAATTTGTCTTTTTTTTTTTTTAACCCCGATCAGTCTTTCTAAAAGATCATCAGTTTTGTTGATATTTTCTAGCTTTTAACTTCATTGATTTTCCTCTGTTGTTTTTCTGTTTTCTTTATTTTTTTTTCTTTTTGCCCCATTGTTTTCTTTCCTGGGGGAACATTTGCTTTTCTTTTTCTGGTTTCTTAAGATAGAAACTTGGATTTGATTTTTTTTTTTGTTTGTTTTGTTTTCTAACACAACCATTCAATGCTATACATTTCCCTCTATTTCTGTAACTGAATCTTACAGATTTTGTTGTATTTTTGTTTCCATTCAGTATAAGTTACTTTCCAAATTCTTTATGATTTCTTCTTTTACCTATGGATTATTCTGAAGTATCTGTTTAATTTCTAACTATTTGGGGATTGTTGTGATATCTCTGTTACTGATTTCTAGTTCAATGCTATTACGGAACAAAGGACATTTTCATGATTCCAGACCTTTCATAAGTTAGCATATTGACTGTCTTTGGAGTGTTCCATATGCATTTGAAAAAAGATTTATACTCTGACATTTTGGGGTGAAATACTCTCTAAATGTCAATTAGGTTACATTGGTTAGTAGTGTTTGTATCCTTTTTTTTATGTTCTATATCCTTACTGATTTTATATCTCTTACCAGTTATTGAGAGAGGAATATTGGAATCTCCAGCTATAAAATAGTGGTTCTGTCTATTTTCCTTTAGTTTTTGCTTCAAACATTTGGAAACTCTGTTATTTATTAGGTGTTTACACATTTAGAATTAGGTCCTTTTAATGAATTGACACCTTTGTTATTGTAAGATGTCTCCTTTTATCCCTGGTAATATTTCTTGTTCTGAAATTTTGTTTCTTTGATATTAATGTAGCCATGCAGCTTTTTTTATGATTAATACTTGCATTGTATATCTTTTTTCATCCTTTTATTCTTAATGGATTCATGTATTTGTATATAAAATGTTTCTTGTATATAGCATTTTTAGAAAAAATGCAACCTGATAATTCTCTGGTGAACCAGTGGTTAGGACTCCAAGCTTTCACTGCTGAGGGCTGGGGTTCAAGCCCCTGGTTGGGGAATAGATCTTGCAAGCTGCATGGCATGGTGAAAAAGGAAAAATCCATTCTGACAGTCTCTACCATTTAATTGAAGCGTTTGTCCATTTACATTTAATATTATTAATTATAAATACAATTGGATTTAAATCTGTTATCTTCTATATTTGTGTCATTGTTTTGCTCCATTATTTTTTCTTGCCTTTTTAATTGAGTACTTTTTTGTGATTACATTTTATCTTCATTATTGGATTATTAGTTACACTTTTCTTCTTTCCCTTCTCTTTTAGTAGTTGTTCTAGAGTTTGCAATGTACATCTTTTTTTTTTTTTTTTGACAATGAGACTTGCAGGATGTTAGTTCCCTGACCCAGGGATTGAACCTGGGCCCTCAGCAGTGAAAGC